TCTGTAGGCTGATCTACATGTACGCTAGAGCTTTGGAACGAGGTGATTGTGTTCATGTGCGCCAAGACAGTTTTAGTCCACATTTAGCATAGAACGGGTTCTTTACCCTTGATATCTCCAAAAGAGAGGCGTATATGCCGATGTAGTTGAGAAGGAGACCTGTCAACGAGTTCGATACCAGAAAGTAGGTGTCGACGACGGGGCTCGTTCAAGCTGAGCATTCGTGTGAGAACAGCATCTTTCAACTTTTCACGGGGGTATTCAGAAGGCATTATTCCAGGCAAGTCAAAAACGTCTGTAGCAACATCTCTCGGTAGCCATGCAACAAAATGAAAGTATTTGGAGAACTGGGAAGCAATCATCTGATTGCGAAAATGGGCCTCAGGTCGCATTTACCAAACTCTGGCTTTGGGATTGTACGGGTGAAAGTTGACTGAATTGCTGTTTTCCGAACAGCGTTTTACAGCAAGAGGGTCACTCATACTTAACAGATGAGAGCTGTGAATGTTCGACGGATATCACCAATCAACGGCGTCAAAAATAAAGTGGTTTCATCACGTCGGGATAACCAAATGTTTAGTAGCCGGATTTCTTCACATCGGGGTCACCAAATATAGTGACGAGAGATTTAGCACTACCATAAAACCCACTAGTTAACAGCCTGATAATACCCGAGCAAAGGGGGAAAAGCGATGACAGAGAGCACGGCTGTTTATTAGCGTCAAACCAGCCAAAGTGGCCTTGTGGCTGCATGAGTATGGGTGAGTAACACTCGAATGCTGACAGAGGCCAATAATAAAAGAGATGAGTCATTGGTCCACTCGGGCCCTCATGCACGCATCACTCACTCGAGGTGGCTGTCAGTCCACTACACTCACAGGTGGACTAGAAAACCCTCCCGATCCGGTCACACTAACTTCGGCTTCCACCAATGTGCCAATAAGACAAATGCATGACACCAGTTCAAGCAAGCAATCTAGCTAAATGAGAAAACGGTGTTGCTGCACAAAACGGAAAAAACGATAGAGAGGAAACGTCATTCAGCACTAACCTGAGCCAACCAATCGACATTCGTAATTCGGATCGCCATCGTATCCAGGTTCACAGTAGCACGTGCCATTTTGACATCGCGCGTTGTAACCACATCGCACGTTCACGCAGGGATCTTCAAATTGAAGGACCATCATCAGAATTTCGCACGTAACTCAAGCCCACTTATACGGCATGGCGTATTTCACTAATTGTTGTGTAAAGGTACAATGAACAGACGACCCAAGACAATTCGTGCGTGTAATGCCCTAACGTGTCGCGTTTTATCACAGTTTCGTCAACCACCCTGTCACGGATTGCATGCATTTTGAATGACCTCGACTGTTTCACCGACAGATGGACCTGTTGATATTTACAAGTGCAGTTAACGTCAGCTCTGATCGAAATCACTCATAAGTGGGTTAGAAATCATTCGCACTCTGGTCTTCCCCCTGTTTCCTTGTGGATTATTTAAGCCCAGGCCGACGCTATTCGAAGTAATTGGATTACAGATTTATCTACAGCCGTTTTACATCAATTGCAATGGATCAGAAGGGCAATAAATCATTGGTCTTACGTGGGATGTCTCCCACTATCGGGAAAGTAACCTTTTGCCTATTGTGGATTATTGCATTCGCGACATATTTAAACATATTTAGTAGACTTTTTCTTGGTTACTACTTCTCATTTCGTCCTTTTGGTTGAGGTGTAGAACTGGTGTTTTTAATGCTGCTCCAAGTGCGGTTAAGGGTGTATTCGCTGATTCTTTCCCGAGCATCACTTACGAAATACATTTCAATTGCTCCAGCATAATTTAATCTCTTTTGGGATTTTTTGAAAGCCCTTTCCATTTTTATCAACCATGGCCATCGTTCTCTTATAAACGTAAGGCTTCGATGTTTGTTGGCATTTTCATTGTTGACAATTTTCTAGTTACCTACTTCAAATCTAGCTGCTCTGCTTTTGAAAGTCCTACCCTTCATCAATGCAAATTCTAGTGGTGGATTTGGTACATCTTTATCTGAAACCTTATTTGCAGAATGCAGCGCATATACTGACAGTGACTGTTAAGCATCAAGAGCAAGCCAACCACTAGGGCAAACAAACCTGTGTTGGGTGGAAAGCAGCCATAATTTGGATCACCCTCATATCCGCTTTCACAGTAGCATACACCGTCAAAACACCGTGCGTACCGTCCACAACGCACGTTGTAGCAGCGATCTTTGTCAGAAAATGCAAGTAAACCTCGTTAAATGCGAACGAACACAAATGCGTGTAATTGCAGCAGAACCTCAAACACTCGACGACGGTCATTATTAATCAGATCACCTAGTGCCATTCCAGATTCCTATCCTTGCCATCTTTGTTACATGTCTGCACACTTCGGCCCAACTAGAACTGCTTTGACGAACCATCGGGTGCATCATGGCTGTCACGTCATTTCCGCTGCTTGAGACTGCGATTGTGAAGTTCTTCTGTTCGTGCCCATGTTGCCATTCCAAATGGTGCTACATCGCGCACTGCTTTGCTGTTCACATTGATTACTTGTTGCTCAGCGGTGAATTTCGGTGCTTTTTGACACGATGATTTGCATTTTGCGAAGTCTACGCCTTAGCTGCACCATACAAGAATAGTTTCTTTGCCGTCGCTTGATCGATTTCTACGGTTCTGTAGGCACTGACAACCACGTTTCTCCGTGAACGCCCTATGGCAGTGAAGGACATCACGCACGCACGCAGCTGACACTTATGGTTTAGTGTGCACGACAGAAACGAGATGTAAAGTCGTGTCTGTGTGCGGTTTCGATTCATCTTAATCTGCTCAGCCAAATCCATTGGTCATTATGTTGGGTAACTACACTGGCTTCAGTGCCTTACAAATTCATCACAGAACACTACTTTCTACCTTACAACGATTACAATGGCCTTTTACGTGGTGCGATCGTGATCATTCTGTCAGTGCGACGAATTGGTAAGCTATGCAATGAACTAGGCAAACATACCTGCCACTCTGTTACATTGGATGTTGGGATCGCCCTCGAAACCGTCCTCACAAACACAGACCCCATCGCTGCATCGCGCATTGTATCCACATCGAACGTTGGCGCAGCGATCTGTAAACGCACACACAAATCTCAATCCGATGATGCGGCACTTTGTTTTCCAAATTCGATCCAACTTAAGTCGAAAGAGTGCAAACAATGCAGAACTCTTCGTGTCTCCGAGGTAGCTTCCAAGATTGCACTTTTGTTGGAGACATGAGACTTGATTTCTCAGCCCAGAAACAAATCTCTACGTTAGTAAAACTCATCTATATACGCAAGCACGACAGCTGCAGCAATTCATTCCTACTTCACCTCTTGCTGACTCTTTAAAGACGCATTTTATAACAAAAGCTACATGTTCGGTGGCCAAGCTGAAAACACGATGTCACTATCGGCGAGACGTAATTCATACCACCACATTCTCACCTGCTTGGAGCAAACGATTGTTTCAATTTCGAACTAAAGTTATTGCAAGATGTGGTATTCTTCAAATCGTATTCAGACCTCGTTAGTTCGGATAAATAGAATAATCTGTGTTACATATGTGCGCCGTAGTAGCACATAGCAAAGGCGCATTCGTAATTTCAAGAAGAAGAAGAGTTTAACTTACCGGGAATTTGGCGACAATGCGAGTAGGGATCGCCCTCGAAACCGGCCTCACAAACACAGACCCCATCGCTGCATCGCGCATTGTATCCACACCGAACGTCTGCACAACGATCTTTAAAAGAACTCACTAGTAAGGTATCCGCACGGGCTGTAGGAAACATTTTCTCCCTCATCTATCAGTCTACTTCATACATTCAAATTGATCTATTCCTATCCTGCACACATTTCTATTAATTCCTGCGACTGTAACTATGCGAAGATATTATGCTCATCTCAACTGCAAACTTAGTTGCAGTAGACCCACAAGCTTTCGGTTAAGGAGAAGTAAACGAGGCATGGAGGCATTTGCAGCGTTTGAAATTAAAGTTTAATGCGGGGATAAAAGTGATAAACTACCAGGAAGGTCTCAATGTGTTGCGCTGAATGCCATCAAGGCCTTCAACACCCGACACAGGTTCAATTACGTGAGTAAATCGTACATGAATACCTTCACGTGATCCACAAACTGTGTCATGCAACAACATACTTTTTGCTATAATCTGAAGCACAGGTAATAGGTTAAATGGGTTTATCCATGTTACAGCTACTAATATTTCCTTAGGATTGTGGTAGCACCCATGAAAATTAGCTTTTTCTCCTGCATCAACACTTGAAGTTGGCTTCAGTTCATTAGAAACAAAGCTGGCGGTAAGTAAACACAGATAAACCTTTCGGCAGTGCAACACACTCGCGATTGGCGTCACCTTCGTAGCCCTCATAGCAACAGCCAGCCCCGTCAACACAATGCGCAAAACGGCCACAGCGGACACCGTTACACGGACCTTTTGGCACAAAAGAGATGGGAAATATACTGAAGCAATCAGGGAGTGAGTGATGGCAGCGTTCACGGACATTAACGACGCCAGAAACAGGGACATAGGGTTTCATGGAGGTGGCATGAAATCTACTTGGTTAATTTGAATTCAGTCTGTGTGCAATTCATCTTAAGCTGTGTTTGACGAATAATCGAAAGTTTGGATATTCGACAGAAATGGCGTTTCATTAGTTGCTGCCTTGGACCGCTAAATATCGTGCTCCGATGAGTGAATAGCAGTATCGATTAGAGCTGTCGGAAGGCGTCGCATAGTTATCCGGTGTAACGAGCAGTTGAAATTGCAGGACTTCAAAGTTTTGGAGTTTTCACTTCCGAGAAACAAGCAACGTTTCGTTGATTAGCTTAAGCGCGCTCCATCGAAATTCGCCTTCGTTATGAGAGGCATTTTGCCTCGGGGAGGCACCGTCTAGAACCAGGTACTTGGGAGATTGCCAATTGGTGACCTTAGACAACTTGCATTTCAAGTCCGTTGATGGTGCATTCCCCCACCATTTCATGCAAAAAAGCAAATGTAAAAGAGGACTTGAACTGCTTTGAATCTGTGGAGTTCTGATTAGTTGCCAGATATTTTAATGAGTTTTCACAACACCATGGGTTCAACAATAGCACGATGTGAAAAAAAGCAGTTTGTCGAACTTAGAATGATTTGTGACCGAAGCGAGGCGATCGAAAGTATATTTGCTTTGAATGCCTTTTTTGATTAACCACAGGGAAATTAGCTTTGGAGCCGTTTGACATTGTGCCTAAGCTAAGAGGACAACTCGAGTAAACGTACCTGCATACACAGGACGACACTCATAACGTGCATCGCCATCGTAGCCCTCATTGCAGTGACATGTCCCATTCACACAATGAGCATTGTAGCCACAGCGGACAGTCGTGCACGGGTCTTGGCGAAAAAAGTGATTAATTGGTAAGTATTGGTTAAAACTCCATGAGGTCCTAATCACCACCAAGTTGGTCTTAGTCTCCATGAAAGGAAATAGAGGATTCATTTATTGTCAAAGTTGCCGTTTGCTGAAGCATATTCACAATTGATCATTATTGCTAGTGGAGAGGATAACAGGACTATGATCTCCTGTGATTAGCTCATCACACTCACAGAGTTACTAGCGCTTGTCTTGTCAGGTGGTTTTCATCGTTTCACCAAAACCGTGCACAGCCATTACAAGTAACGACGCAGCACAACATCTAGAAAGACGTCCAACTCAAGACCTAGGACTACCATTCTATCAAATTGAGTTGCATTTTAGCGTTACACAATTTTTTCTGACTCGCAAACATTAGTCGCAAGTGGACTATTCTCAGTGCTTCAATATAAATTTATTTGTTAGTTTATGAAAATCAGCAGACATTTTACAAAGTTTTGTACATATTTTGATTCGGTTTCTAACCTACAAAACCAGAATTTGCGTAATTATCCCAGACTTCCTTTTTACTTATCCGAACTCAGTTTGTGGTACCAATTTTGTAGACATTATTGGACATTAGTAACTCCATCGAACCTGTGACAGTCGGACGACACTCGTAATCGGGATTTCCATCCACACATTGGGTGTTATGTCCACAGTGCACATTATCACAACGATCAATTTTTTTTAAAAAGACGCTGAAATCAGTTTTGATTGCAAAAATAAGGTCAGGCTTGAAGGAAAAATTTTTTCCCGTTTCATTTTTATTTGATTTTTCGTCTCATTTGTAACACCATTTGAAACATCAAAATGTAGCGATTTATTATGCGTGTTTACGTAACATATGAAAAACAATAGAGGCAGATGCTTTACAACAAAGTGCCAAAATCTATTGTTTGCCGCTGATACCACGGATTCTCAGGTGAATAGGGACTTTGATGGATACTGGGAAGTCTCGACTCACAGGGCCAAAATCATTTATTTCATTTGCTTTGAAACTTATAGCTACATCGTCCAGCTCAATTGAAGCTGATTTATGATTTTCCACAGATAGGTTTAGATTGTTTTCAGTTATAGTTGTCTACAGTTGAATGTACTATAATACATGACTAAAGAATTGTAATTTTGATTAAGAGTGCTTGGCTAACGCTTTTCCTAAACTCCCCACAAATTATGGTGAACCTAATTGCCCTTTTATGAGTACTACCCAAATGATGATTGTGCGTTCTAAGTCTCTATGGCCGCATGTCGACCAACTTCCTTAAATGGAGCATGATTTTGTTTAGGGACCTTAGAGCACTTTGTTCAACGTGAGGATTTCAATTTATTACTTTTGCGAATAAATATTTAGGTAGATTTTTTTAAACACGGGCATTATGTGGAGTGTACCCGCCATGTAGGTGAAAGCCTCATTAATATCGCTTAAATACCAAGCTCGGCGCGAAATGTTATGACCCTTCCAATTCTGTTAAGACTAGTGGTAGAGAAATTTTGTTTTGTACTCTAGAATGCACCCTAAGGCAGTATCGTTACTTTAGGTGTCTACTTACTTGCAAAAGCGACTAGGCAGCGACGCTCGCACTCTTCTTTCGTCTCGAAGTTGTTTCGGTTGCCCCGGCAACCACCATATGAGAAGGCTTCGCAATTTCCTGTTGACGGGTTGTAGGCGAACCGGCTTAAAGAGGCTCGGCATGGACCCCGAATTATGGGCTGCTGGCAGACGTCATCATTTTCATCTTCACTTTTCGCACCTGAAATGTAAACGGATGGTGACCAAAGTCACTATTCAACATCCTAGGATTTGGATAAAACGAAACGCCGAAATTGAACACACATGTCTACTTATCTATAGAGGTGCAAATCGAATAACTTTAGCTTTCTGAGGCAAGACTCAGCACGAAGTAACCATGGTAGAAACCAGACGGGTGCAGGAACTCGACCGCTGTAGGTCGCGTCCTGTGCGTAAAAGGCCGTGTCTGACTAGTGGGAGTTGCTGGTCAATGCAGTCCGGAGGAACTCGTTAAAGTACAAATAACTGAATGGACAGATGAATCTGGGTAGTACATGCACGGGGGTTTGTGAATAGGCGGTACCGCATTTTCGATAGGGGCACCGTGAAAAGGGAGGAGTGACGAATCTCAGCGTTCGAAAACCTGGTTGATGGACATGAATAAAGACTTATCACTGCAAACTTAAATAGGCTATGTGATGCTGATCAACTGCTTTGTCCGCATGTATTTTTTCGGTAAAGCTACCTACTTTCGTAAATCTGAAGAAAGTTTCATGCACCTCCTTTACCTGATTCAGTGCTGCAATTTTGATGTTTAAACCAGGGAATAACGAAGTGCAGAGGTCGGACTGATCATTAGCGGCGTACGGAAAAAGAATTCAATGTTTCGCAAATAATAATACTGTTGGCGTCATTAATGACTTACCACTACTTGCTGTTCCACACCTAGCTTCACATTCCGCCAAGGTCTCAAAGTTGTTGGCGTTGCCTAGACAACCACCGTAGGTGAATTCCCTGCAGCGACCTATTTGGGAATCGAAGCCGTAGCGAATCATGCGGCCTCTACAAGGCCCAGCATCCAGATGAAGTTGACACACTGAATCAATTCTTAGTTGTATTCTGTCTTCTAGTTCACAACACGAAACAAAGACGTAAATTGAGTAATCTGACACACAGTGCGCACTGCAAGCAACCTTATACTCGGCATTTACTCAGAAAAATCAAATCTTGATTCCTAAACGCCAAAACTCCATAATACGAGAAAAGGTAAAAGTCATTATAAATTAACGTATTTGTAATTAAGAACGTTTTCAAAAACTCTAATTATATAGCCCAGCTATTTTAGTTATAGCCGATTTTTGTCAGACCAGCGCACGATGTAAGCACTCCGATCTTCGGCGAATTGTTCTTCCACAGCAGATTACATCCAGATCCTCATTGGACCTTAACACGAAGTGGACTTACAACTAGATAGTCGTGTTGGTTTAAAAAATCTAAACAATTATCTTGCAATGTGTAATACTAATAATTGACTACAGCGAGGACAAAAATTAGCTTTAAATGACTGCAAAGTGAGCATTGTGTGCATATTTTAACCATACCCTTGACAACGAAGTCTTTTCAGGGTTTATGGCGAACTTTTATCAAACGAGTGTAAGTGAGGCATTCATGAGTTGATCGAATATCATCGAGTGTCGATTACAGTTGATGTTCGATATTCGCTCACGGCCTCTGCTAATGAAGACTTAGGTAGTTGAGTGTAAATAAACCTTAATGTTCGCTATTATCTATCCTGCCTTTCTTCTCGAGTCGTTATGGACAGTCGACTAGCATGGTTGTAATGTAGCGCTAACGAAGTTGCCACAACCGTTAAACGTGGTTGCCGGCTGACCTGGACGGAGCGATAGTGACCAGCCACACGATATTTTTCGTGGTAGCCTTCAATTAACAAATTGTAAGTGGCTACTGGTTCCGGTCCACTTAAGTTCGATTACAAATGCGTGCAGCATTACCAAACCAGAAAAGTCTTTGTTGACCTCGCGGACATCCTTTTGGTGGTTTAAGTTAATTCCCGTGATGACCCAAACCGCTTTATCTTTTCTACTCCGAGCACAATCTTTTTTTATCTAAAACTTCAGGCACATAGCATGTGCCGACCATCTCTGAGTCCTAACTATGAGTTTACAAACGAAAATAATTTTTGAAATACAGCCATTCATTGAAGGAAAATTTAGTCCACATAGTCCGTATGTCACAAGGATTTCTTAGGAAAACAGCACCATCAAAGTGACCACAATCACAGTGTAATAAGCAGGAGCGTATAAAGCGTTAGTGAGATGCACACTATGTCTGAAATGAATCAGAGCGATTCTCACCTTGACATACGCCATTTTCGTTTCTCTTAAAACCCTCTTTGCATTTGCAAGAGTGCGAGCTACCCTCGGGCACGCAAACTTCATTTTCCTGTTCACAAATGACGCAATCACAAGAGCCTGGAATATGGATGCGAATAATGCTCGGTTAAGCATAACGAAGAGGCGTAACACTTCAGAGTGGCTGTGCTCACCAGGTGTATTGGCGTAGAGAGCCGGCATATCCACACAATAAAATGAGCATCCACTTCCGGACCGGCAGTCCTCTCTGCAGTAACCCTGAGTATCCATTTTCACAAAAAATTTTTTTCCTTTGGCCATCAGAGAGTTTTCCGCTAGAATGCACGCCCCATCCTCCACTAAAGCATTTCCGCTCCCATACACTTGGACAGTCACCGTCTTATTCTCTCCTGTCTTAAAAGTGTAGACTTGTGGTTCAAAATCCAGTCTTCCCGCGCAGCGTTTCTCGTAAATTATGAGTCTGCTGTGCTTCTCATCACTTTGAAAGATGCCATCGGTGCCAACCAAAGTGCTGGTCAGTGGAGTGAAGTCGCCCTCTGGAAAAACCTCAATGGTTATGGATCCTCTATAGGTGTCTTCGGTGGAGCTTTGCCTCAAGAGAGCCCCCCTTACCACAAGGTTACCATGGTCAGTAACTTGGAGGCGAAAGGTAAAGTTGAAAGGTGTGGAGAATCCAGAAGCAAGAGAGAAGACATTAAAGATGCGCGAAGCCATGAGGTCAGTGTTCATGCATTGTTGCGAGGGGAATGCAAGAAATGAGTTGAGGAATTGGAATATGGGCGACATAATGTGAATGGATTGGAAGTTCTGAGGGACATCATGGACACCACTCTGCAAAAGAATGCTTTCATCCTTCTTCACCTCCGTGTCAAGAAAGGTAAAGAGAACAATAGGGTCTCGTCCCGGTCCCTCAAGATTTAGTTGCATTTGTCCATCCAGGTAGATGCGACGAGGCCTTTCTGGAACTACGGAAACATTGCATGGGCTCAAAGTACCAATTTTTATCAAACAGAAATCTAAGCTTTTCACTGAGAATTAATTTCCTATCTAGTAGAAATTGGAATCAATGGAATTGTAGGCTACATCGACTAGGTCAAATCTAGCTTGGGGCATGTTGATTTATTGGGTGGTAAATAATCTGCAACAATGTAAGAACGGTGAAGCAATGGGTGAGAAATAAAGACACCCTTGGGGGTTGAGTACAGTAGAAAACATTTACGAGTATCACATTATGCACTCTTGAGAGAGCTCCAATCCTAGCCAGTGAAAAGTATTCAGAAGTCGTAACAAGAAATTTTACTGCAGAGTAAATAACGCGGAAGTGCTGTATGCACCGCTAAAGTTTAAGTTTAATTCTAATCAAGTTAAAGTAGCGAGGGATTAAAGAGAGTTTTTCTTAAAAGAGGTCAAACCAAGTACATCCCTCAGCTCCAATTACTTTATTTGGTATAATCTTGAATCCGAAGTGTTAGTTAGCTTGCTTTGTAAAAGGCATTCGTGATTAATGGTATAATGGCATGACAAGTGCATTGCGCGGCCTCTTACCAATTGACCAGCAGCCTTCTGCGCCTCCTCCATAATAGGCCGGAGGGCATACACAACAGTTCTGACCGTCGAATTTGAAGCAATCAGCCATCGTAGTCTTGCAGGCCCTGTTATCACAGCGCTCGAATTGTCTCTCTGGGCTAACTATTGGTCTCCTGTTTTCTGAAAGAGTTGGAAAGCTATTGGTTTTAATGTATTTTTTATGACAATAATGCCTGTTGAATTCACGATGTCTTATAATATGGAAGAAAAATATTAACGAGTTTTGCAGCTTGTACTATGAAAAATATTTGTAACTAAATGACCTCAATTTACACTTCTAGCCCTCATACTACATCTCAAATCAACTGACCGCTATCAGCCACGTCTTAATTCATGGACACATGCATAAAGATAATTCCCGTGTAGGGAATCGTGTTGATTCACGTCCATCAACTCCGTCGCCGTGACCTCCGACACACTGCTCTTCGTCATTCAGAACCGTCTGCTCTCACACCTGTGCACTCCCCCCTCCCCTCCACTCGTTTCACTTTTCTGCCTATCAGTCATTTATACTTCAACAATTTCACTCAAACTGTATTGGTCATACACGATTTTTAACACAGACACGACAGCGTAACAAGGTTAAGCCACCTAATAAACACCTGTCGCCTGAATCTCCGGCCTTGGTTGTTCAAGATATCAATGCAGCGTAATCGGGCCAATGCGCCCAGTGGCCCGGTGTTGTTTAAGATTGCATTTCTGGGCCTTCAACAGTCGACAGCAGGGCGTAAACAACTATTTACATTTCTGAGGCAAATAACATCCACCAGATTTATAACATCAGGGGTACATTTATCACTCAAAGCTCCTTAGTTCGAGGTCTAAGTGAAGTCATTGCCGGACAGTTAATAACTCCACCGTTAGGTGTAATTATGCTAGACTACAGAAGGCTGGCTGCCTCTAACGGCGAGTGCGAGTTATTATTTGTCCGAACAAGCACAAGTAAATAGCTAGGTAAATGTCGTTGAATTTAACCGATTTGGCCTGCATTGGGGCACACAAGTGATTACAATAAGCACATTGTCGTCAAGCTGTTTTTTGAAGTTTGGCTCACCGAACGGAGCGACTTACCGGATGTCTTGTCGCCATAAGACCCTGTTTGATTGATGGTAGTGTCAGTTGCGACTTGTGCCTCGACGTCAGTTTCCACAGATGGTGATGGAACGTAAATTGGGGAAGGTTCCGTGACTGACGACAATGATCCCTCTGTTGATTCTGCATTTTCACAGAATCTAGAACTCATTTGCAGAAAATCTTCCGTCGCCATGCGGATCTTTGACTGAGCTGCTACGTCCACATCAAGTGGACCCTCCTGTAGAGGGAAAATCCACTCCCCAGGTACTGCGATATTCGATTCTCTGTTCAAGCGAACAAACACAAACATCCCTCTTAGAAATGCCAAATGTGCTTGTGTATTTGAAGCAGTGAGACAAACTTAGGCTTAGATTGACTATTGTAAAGTGCGTGTTTTCAACTATGTACACTAAAATGGCGATTGAAAGCGACCGACATCGTGAGGCATTGAAACCACGACCAAAGGCATGTCAGACGATTCAGCAGTGTCAAATAGCCATGTGATCAGATAAGCACCAGACCTTAAGGTCTGATTTTGTTAACGACCATGGGTGTGAAGGTCGTAGAGGACCTTGTAGTGAATCGTGTTGATTA